CTTCACCAGAGGGAGACAGAGGAATTTGGGCCAGCCCCAGGAGTGACTCAGGCAAAATTAGGCCAGGAGCCCTCTCTCCCTAAACGACCCCTGACCTTCAATTTCCAAACAGGGTGGCAAACCCTGGCTCCATTATCTATACAGGGCCCCTTCCTGCCTGGTTCTAGTCCCATAGAGCTTGTGAAGTTTATAGGACTTGGTGGAACCTTGGGAAACTCCTTGCCTTAGGGCAAGTTTCTAAGGAAAGTGGGGAAAAGCTAGTGAAAGGCCTTCCCAAAAAATACTCGAAAAATACTTGCTGGGATCACTTAATATCACAGTCCTGTGGTAGGCAGTTAGACAGACAGGAACAGAGCAAGAAGGGTTGGCCAGGTGTAGAAGGATACCAGGAAAGCCCCAGGTGCCTGGCAAAGGACAATTGTAGGGTGGGACCTCACTCCTCCAGGGTAACCTTTCATCTCCTTGCATATTGCTGCATCCCCTTGCCTATTGCTATATTGCTGGTCATGGGTGTTGTACTCCCCCCCCCCCCCCCATTTCTTTTCTCCCTAGAAAAAACGCCACACCCAGAAAAGAAGCTAAACCAGACAAGTGACAACCTATGACTGACCTCAGGACCAGTTGCATTAGATAATGACCCCCTGCCCGGGCTCAAACCAGTCATTCAGGCCTGGTCTGAAAAGGCCTAGAATATTCTATTGAAATCTTCCCCTGGGACCACCCCTAAAAATCTAAAAATCTCCACACTTCTCCTGGGATGGACCCTAAAAATATCCATTCTTAAGATGGAGACCCAGCTGGCTCTTCCTCCCAGAGTATGCCCATGTCTCCCCTCGTATTTCCCCCTCCACTTCCACCCAGGCATCTCACCTTTACCTTCCTCACTTCCAAGCTCCAAGGGCCCTTACACCATTAACTATGCCCAATTCTTCTACGAATTACTTTTACTTCTGTGATTTTCTAAATAAAGGTTTTCTTATATTTTGAGTCTTGGCTCTGAATTTTTTCCTTGCCAGAACTCAAGTACTGAGGTGCCTGAACCCAGGTCAGGTCTGACCCCACGGGGTCTAACACCAGGTGCCTTTCCTAACATGGCCAATAATTCTATGATTAAAGTCTTTCCAGGCCTTGCTCCTACAGTGCCCACTTGATTATTTTAGATATAGGAAAAGCAAAGTGACTGTTTTACTAGACCCACATAAAATTCATGACCTGGTATGTTTGGGTGATCAAGGAATAGGAGATTTAAAATATTTTTCATCATCCAACAGTTGTAGCATGCTGCCAACTATTTCTCAGGTTTAGTACTTCCAACAACTCCTGTAAACTAAGCAGGACAAATATTCACATTTCCTCCACCTCCCACCCTAAACACATACATACACATACTTTTAAAAATGAGAAAAGCAGCTAACATAGACTTGATGGACAGATTTTTTTGTTCCTATTACCATATCACAGTTCCATGTTGTCTGGACATAGGAGTGTAAGAATGATTGTCACGGGCTAATGTGTCCCTTAAGTCCCCAGGATGATTTTAATTTCTAGTAGCAGATAATTTAAGCCTCTGGTGGTGGTTTCTCCAGGTTGCTCTTAGTGGCTAGATGCAGAGATGGAACTTTCATGGCTATGCCCAGACCAATGGTTCAAGGTGGCATAGTTTATCCATCTACAGCTGTGTCTGGCAGCTCTGACATGGGGACTCGATGTAGGTGGGTGAGCACATCTGACTCTTTAGCAGGTTAATGAAAGGTAAAGGCCTGGATTGAGAAGTGAATAAACTACTTTGGGGAAGTTTTTTTTGCCATAGTGTGGCTTCCTGGAAGGCTGAGTTGGGGGGTGGGGGAAGGAAAGATAAGAAAGATCATTCTAGGGAGTGTTGTGTGCCTGCTCTAGATGCCTGTGGTGAGGTTTGACTGGGCCTAGTGATAACATGCATCTCATCGAGAAGAAACCTCTCTGGCACATATGAAAAAATTTTTTTAATTGATTTTAGCGAGAGAGAAGGGAGAGAAGGAAAGAGAGAAACATAGATTTGTTGTTCCACGTATTTATGCATTCATTGGTTGCTTCTTGCATGTGCCCTGACAAGGGATGGAACCTGCAACCTTGTTGTATTGTTATGATACTCTAACCAACTGAGCTACCCAGCCAGGCCATTTCTGGTCCATTTTAAAGAACCCCCTTTTTTATTGCTCTGATTCTGAGACTACCCAGAAAGGTACTAAAAGGTAAGCAGGCACAGGCCATGTTGAATGCTTGTCCAGTCAGACAGGCTCATCTTGAGCCAGTTGGGTACTAGGTTCCAGGTTTCCATCCCTCTCCATCCTTAGCCTCTAGGCAAAGAGCCTCCTCATTTCCTCCCCTGACTTCCAGCACTCTCCCTACCTTCACCTTATAATGTTATTCTTAAGAAATACCTTAACAGCCTGGATAGTGTGAATTTAAATCACACTCCCTGGGAGTTCAAATGTCCACAAAAGGGATGCTCGTATTTAAGCCTGATTTATCAGTAGATGGCATGTTCGCATTTACATTTGAGATAGATCACTCTGTAAGCAGGGGATGGAATATGAGGGGTGAGGCTGGAAGCAGATGGATAGGGGAGCTCAGGTAATACAATGCTGCTCCTTTACCATCCTAAGGAACTGTCTCCAGAAAGCATTACAATTATTCACATTAGTGACTCTAATAATAACAATTTGAACCTTTGACATTCTTTCTTCGAAGGAGCTCAAAATAGAATCAAGTTTATAATAAAACACTCTGCCCCCCCCCCCCATCCACCCTGATTTATACACAGCACATAGTATACGGTACCCAGCAGGCATGCTCTCTAGGTGTTGAGGCAGCAGGTCCTGCCAGGAGGACCCCTGTGAGCTATGCAGTCACCAAGGGAAAACTGGACTGCTCTCCACAGCACCAAAAGCTGAGAAGGGGCACATTCTACTTCTTGTCTGGTGACCATCCTCTAGATGTTGGGGTAGATTTCGAGGAACCCTGGCAACTTTGAGTTGTGACCTAAGAGGTATTGTAAATGTCAGTTCTGCTCTATCATGTCCTCAGCCAGAATGGGAGGAGCTGCCACGGGAGTGGGGTGGTCGGGGAGGAAGGGAGAGCTAAGCTTATACCTTACTCTTTGGTTCTGAACAGAATTAACCAACAGGGTGCCCTGCACATCAAATTAACAGGGTCAATAAGTGCCAAGGAAAATAGTTACATGAGTTTTTTCTCTAGTACCTGAGGAGTGATTGTGAATGATTTCATGAGAAAGGAATTTATCCCCCGAAGCCCTTTTGTCAGAATCAGTTCCTATGAGTGCATGTGTATTACCCACAGATTACTCTCCTAGAAACCTTTCTGTTTCTAAGTCTCTAAACACAGCAAAATGTGAAACAGTCCTTTCCTCTGTTAGAGTAGTTAAGGTTGAAGAATCATAGTGTATAATTAATAATAGTCTAATATCTTAGACTATTTGAGATAGAAAGAACCTGATCCAATGGTTTTCAAATTTGTTCTAGCATCAGATCACTTCTAATGAAATTGAAGTATGGTACCTATTTGCTTTGTTTAACAATGGACAGGTTATTTTGATTTTCTGAATTGTATAAATCATCCCATTCGATTGAATGCCTCATTGATTGTAATGTGACTATCCCATTGATTGTGATCTTACTGGTTTTAGAAAGCAAATTCCTCTGTACCTGGGAACAGGACAGCACAATTATCCCAAGACCTGAGGGTTCCAGATAATGTTTCCCTGTCAACTCAGTGGTCCCAAGACCCGAGGGCTCTAAATAATGTGTTTCTGTCAACTCAGAAGTCCAAAGACCCAAAACTATAAATAATCTTTGTAGATAACTAATCAGCTCAATCTCGATTCTGTAACTGCTTTGTGCAAACCAGGGTCCTCATTCCAAACCCTGGGATGTAATCAATACCTTTGTGATTTTTGCCTATATAAGTATGGTTTTGCCACCATCTTATTACTATGAGATTTGGGAATGACCCCTCATAGTCCCGGATTGCAATAAATGTGACTCTTTAATTTGACTTCTTGAGGCGTCCTTCTGTGATTCACGGGGTACATTACAACAAAATCATGTGAAGAAGTCCAGTTAATATGTGAACAGAAAGCAGAGCTGCCCCCATTCAAGAAGTCTCTGGCTGAAGAATGCCTCTGCTGTTTGTCATGCCTCCAACACCCTATCATGTGAATTAATCCTATGAACCCCTAGGATCTAGAGGAGCAAAGCCTGAAAGATATGAATTAAAACAATTCTTCCATTTTATAGGTGACAAAGATGTGTCCATTAGTTAATAGTTATTTGAGTAGAGTGTAAATCTAATAGGAGGATTCATAGAAATAAAATTAAAGGCTACAATTCAAGTTCATGGTAGAGAATGGAGTTGGGAAAGGGTTTTCCTAATGGTTTCTTTGGAGTTGGATCAATGAGTCAAAAAAGAACAAGACAAATTGGAATGTGTGAAGGGTGAGAAGAGGGTTTCACTTAGATCCAGCGATAGATTTCAACAGAAATGGATGCAAACTTTGCAATTTTGAAGTCTCTGGCTGGGAATCTATTCAATGTAGCAAGGTGGCTATCTGTGTAGAGAGGTCATAGGAAGCTTTGAATCACAGCACTGCACTGAGGGGGAGACCTTCATCACTCCCAGCTATTAATCACCATCCTCGGCATAATCAAATATCCTTTAAAGTGAAGGTCTTTACAAGTTAAACACACAGGAGCTTTTCAACCTCTGGACACCTGTTGTGCAGATCAATAGTTTAGACAAACAATACTTGGCAATTTCCTGATTCACAGGAGAAACTTTATCCAGCTCCAACCTTTCTTAATTTTTTTTTCTGAGCCCCAAATCAACTCAAAACTTACTTGTTCTAGAAAATGTCTACTGTCCTGACTCAGTTCATTATTGTGTTTAGCAACTTCTACTCTTGAGGTATCTTACTGAACTTCACCTGTAGAGTACAACTGTTTTTAAATGAATAGGAGGAAACAAGATGTCAGCTGTTTAGCACAGTGCATGATACATAGCAATTATTTTAAAACTATTAGTTTCTCTTCTGGCATAGATCTCTGATAGATCATGGTAAATTCATAAGAATTTGAAAGATGTTAAATTTCACTTTTTAAAAAGAATTCTCTCTAATTTCTTGGCTCGATTATATTTTATTTCTTCCCTCCCCTCCCTTTCTTTTTATTCTTAAATTAGTATGATCAACTTTCATTAATATGGTAGTTAACTCTAAGATAAGAATAAACATGGAGAATAAATAGAGACCCATATTCAATACCATAGTTTGCCTTTAGTTATGAGATTTTTAGAATTAGTTTCCCTTAGACATCCTTTAAAGGTCTTTACAAGTTAAATACACAGGGACTTTTCAAAACGCATTCTTTATTTATCTCTAAATGGTTACGGAACATTTTTGTGTTTTTAGATAATAAATTTTATAGCATTGTCAAAGGGTAAATATCTCTGCAGATAAGGATATGGTCAATAGAGACCAGGTGAAATCAATCCATTTTCACACTCAGTACGCAGCGTGTGTGTTCCCAGGAGTCCAGGGATGCTGACCAAGAAACGTATTGTTTATTTTATTTTTTTAAATATATTTTATTGATTTTTTTACAGAGAGGAAGGGAGAGGGATAGCGAGTTAGAGACATCGATGAGAGAGAAACATCGATCAGCTGCCTCCTGCACACCCACCACTGGGGATGTGCCCTCAGCCAAGGTACATGCCCTTGACCAGAATCGAACCTGGGACCCTTGAGTCCGCAGGCCGACGCTCTATCCACTGAGCCAAACCGGTCAGGGCGAAACGTATTGTTTAGAAGTTCTGTGTCTGTAGGTGGTGGTAGTGGTAGTGGTGGTGGTAGTGGTAGTGGTGGTGGTGGTGAGATAATGATGATGATGAATGTGTTTAAAGGCAATGTAGAAAAGTCTATGCAATGATCTGCTCTCATTTTAAGAAAAATAATTATAGTATAATTGCATATAATTAAGACACTAACGTCTCTTTTAAGAAATCACACTTTTCCTTTGGTTAGAAAATGGCCAGGTTGTTTTTTGTGGGTGAGGGGAATATTAAAAAGTATTATTTCTGCTTTTTCATTGAAGCATACATCTAAATTAAGAATCACAAATTAATATTTGTCCGTTGAAGTAATAGAAGTGGCCATTATTGAAGTTAGATACAAGTTTTTGGCAGTTGTGATTATGTCTCCAGAGAAATGATGCAATCTAAAAAACTGATGTATTCTTTTTTAAAAAATTCTTTTTGGCTTTTAAAGTAACATTTAGTTTTTAAAAGTTAACCTGTGAATATATAGGAAACTGAAAAACACAAACAAAGAACAAAGCCTTCCTTAATCACAAGCAGTTAACAGTCTTACGTGTTCTTCTAAGTGATCTACACAATAAGCTTCCATTTTTGTGTAATTAAGATGGTACAGTTATGTATCATGCTTTCTCACACATCATGAATGTTTACCATTTCAAAGTCTCAAAGCTATGAGTATTTTTTAAATCTTTTTAAAAAGAATTTTTAAAATTGATTTCAGAAAGGAAGGGAGAGGGACAGAGAGATAGAAACATCAATGATGAGAGAGAATCATGGATCGGCTGCCTCCTGCACGCTCCCTACTGGGGATTAACCCTGCAACCTGGGCATTTGCCCTGACCGGGAATTGAACTATGACCTCCTGGTTCATAGGTCAACACTCAACCACTGAGCCACGCCAGGTGGGCAGAGCTATGATAACCAAGAATACCCCACACCAACTCAACCTGGAAGAAAATGTAATCCTGCTTTTCTTGATGACAAAAATTTCATAAAGGACAAAAACAGCAACAGACCTCTAGATAAAAGATATTCACAAAGTTACAATGAAAAGACTGCGTTCCCTTAATGTTCCATTAAGAATGAGACCCAAAGCAAGAGTACACAAAGTATAATGCTTTCAAGAGAATTATGGTTTAAACTTTAAAATATTAGCAAGGAGGCAAGTTTTGACTGAACTACTTAACAACATATTCCTATAGCACAGCCTAAAGAGATGCTTGCACATCAGTGGTTATCACCACAATGTGAATATGAACACACACTCTGCACATGAACAAGTTCTGATGTCCATTTTTGAGATGGTTCAACAACTCCATGTCCAAGATGCTTTTTTTTTCTAACAATTATAACAAAAAGATATTTACAAATTGGTTAATTCATTAGCTCTACTTTTTATTAGACATTGTCACCTCAGGACATCTAAAAAGTTCCAGTGTTGCAAAATAAAGAAACTTGTCCACAATAAACACAGGAACTTTAAAAAAAATCCATATAGACCTATAGTTATAACGTAAAACTTTCTTCTAGGTATGGAGATATTATCCAAGAACCCTTCCCTTCACCCTTCCTCTTCCCCCTCCTCCAACATTTCAGTGACTAAGTACAGAACACCTGGCTCCAAGAGGTGGCTTAACAAGGCACTCCCAGAAGACAGTCCCTCCTAAAAACTAACAAGAGGGCTTTTATAAAGGGATTATTTTACTACCTCTACTTTTAATATACTTCAGGCATTAAGACTTGTTTACCCTTGAATACACAGAAATATTAACTACTGATGTATTCTTATTCCTTCTGCATTTGAATTCGTATGAGGTATATTTATGCATATATCAATTTTCATAACAAGTCACAATACCTGCTATTGCCATTTCCTACGGCTGATTGAAAGTAGATGATTTATAATATCCCTAGGATACATTAAGTTTATGTACAGCGATCTTTAATTCAGTCACAAAAACTGTATTCCTTTTGAAAGCTATAATCTTCCATACTCTTACTAGAATTGTATGTAATGAAGATTCAGCCTGTAGGGGACTATTGAGGAGAAAATATAGGCATAGCTAGAGGACGAAAGTACAAATGGCAAATATCTTGATTGTACAAAGGATTATTTGCTATTCATCAAATTTTATATTTTGTTTACTATATTTTCAAATTTTCTCAATATAAGAGGTTCCACACATATAACTAAATGTGTGTTTTTAAAATGTGTTTGTCCTCTTGAAAATTGAGGGCTTTAACAATCCCCTTCTGAAATGAAGAGATTTTACATAGGGGGTCTTTGGTGTTGAAACTAAAGTAGGAGAGAGCCAGAGTCATTTTTAGGAGCTACAGTTTCCAAAAAATGTCCACATCTCATACCCCAGATCACTGACACATTGGGTAAAATGAAAAAAGGGGAATTAAGGTGAAGATGGAATCAAGGTTAGTAATCTGCTGACTCTACAATAGAGAGATTATCCCAAATTATAAGGATGGACAAGTAATTACAAGGGCATTAAATGTGGAGCAGAGCATGGAAGAAAAAAGAAAAATATCGAAGAGACATGATGTGGGAGAGATTAAACAGAACTCCCCCCCCCCCGAAATCTCTTTGTTGATTCTTTTTCTATTAGCATAAAATATGCTTAGTTCATTTGTACAAATACTGATGATTTATTTTTATATGCACAACACTATACTAGCTTGTGAATAAGATATGAAGGAATGCAGAAAGTAAAGAAGTGCTTGCTAAAAAGTAAGCCCAGGTTATAAAAAATGTGTAGGTCATTGTACCCGATGTAGGTATGACTGTGGATGGTATTTGATATATATGAATTATTTGGTGTCTAAACTCATGCCAAGTTTGTATTATTAAAATGTTATGACATAGAATTAAGAATAGATGGGTAAAATTAAAATGATGATGGCAATGTTAATTTTATTATGTGAACAAATAATGATGATGGGAGGTCTATTTTTTTCTAAAATATGAAATGTTTCCCTTTTTTTCCCCTCTAAGACGGTCACTTTCTACTTATGTTACCATTAACAAATGCCTTTTGTTCCAAGTTGGCATTGGACTCTCAGCTCACACATTCCTACTTCTCCTCCACTCCTGGATCTCAGGCCTAAGGCCATCCACCTGACCTGACCATCTCACTGAGCCCTGGTCCACAGAAGGTGCTCCTCACCATATTGTTCTTGTGTCTCCAGACCTCTGTGAGTCACTGAACTTTCAGAATGTCTTCCAATGTTAGGTGCTTTTCTACATGAACAAGGTGATGAGGGGCCTCTCCATCTGCAACACCTGCCTCCTGAGCATGCTCCAGGCCATCCTCCTCAGGTCCAGCACCTCCTGCTTGGCCAGGTTTAAACAGAAATCCACCAGTTCCATCTTCCATTCCTTCTTCTTCTGTGAGTTCTCAGTTTGTCTTTTGTAGAACCTTATCTCCTACACTGTGGTTTCTAATGTGCCAAGACCAATCTGCCGAATACCATAAATACTTCTCCCTTTCCCTTACAAGCTATCATCCAGAGCCCATTTTCCATACTGCCACTACTTAGAGATGCCTCCTTTTCAGGAATTATGCTGCTCTCAAGTGCAGGTATCAGAGGCAGTCCCAGCACCTTCACACCACCAGCCCCTTCCTACAGAGCTCCCCAGAGAAAAGGGCCTCCTAGACCTTCCTGTTACAGGTGAGTTTCTTTATGGTCAAGTACTGGGTGGACTTCATCATTACATCTTCTTCAACCCTAATATGGGCATATGTTTCAGTTGTCCTGGTTGTTCAAACTTTTGTGGTCAATTTTTATTGCCACTGTCAATTTGTTGGTGCAGATCAGATCTCATAAAAGTACAATAAATATGATGCAAAATATTCGACAGAAGTATCATATGTTAACAAATTATTAATGAAAATACTTTTCTCAAATACAGTTCTTTTATCATCAGGTCAATAATTAATAGAACAGAGAATTTGACATTTGATTTAATTAAAATGTGTAGATTTATACTTTTATTATATCTCAATACTTTTGAAACCAATGATGCCAAGGACTTGGCATATTCTTTATTTTTTTTAAAGAAACAAAACTGCTTTATTAAGGCAACTGCTTATGATGAGTATAGGATTGATGACATTAAAAATTTTATCTAATTATAAAAAAAAATTTGATTCTTGATAAACCTGCTTGCCTGGCATATTCTTTAGACAACATACACCATGATTGAGTAGTCCTGTACTTTTACCTGTTTCCTACCTTTCATTTCGATTCTCAGAACTTCATGTAAGAAAATGTTTGTTAATTTTTTAGGCATACTCTTAAGAAGCTTTTATTGTTAATACAATGTTTCAGTGTGATTTTTAAAAATTACTTTGGGTACACTTATTGAAAATCAAATGATAATATATGTATAGATTTATTTCTAAACTCTATGCTGGTGTACTATATGTTCATATTTATGACAACTCAAAACTGTCTTGATTAAATTTAGAGTGAGTCTTGAAATCAGGTTTTTTTCTTATAAAAATTGTCCTTTTCATTTCCAGATGTATATATAGCCCTTTATATATGACTCCCTTTACCCTTTTCTCTGATCATTCACCTCCTTCACCTGCTTCCTGCTCTGGCCACCTCCACTCTGCTTTCTGTATCTATAAGCTTGTTTTTGTTTGTTGTTTTCTTTTTTAGCTTCCACATATAATAATGAACATACAATATTTGTTTTAGTTTGTTGGACTTATTTCACTTAGCACATGCCCTTGCGATCCATCCATGTTTTCCTAAATGGCAAAATTTTATTTGTTTTTACGGCTGAATAATATTCCACTGTATACGCATGTATATAAATACACAATTGCTTTATCCATTCATCCACTGATGGATACTTAGGTTACTTCCACATATTGGCTATTATTAATAACCCCCAACACACATGAAAGTTTATGCTTCCTGATAATGTATTTTACATTTTTAGTCTCCTCATATACTTGCCTTCCATATTTTTGTTTGCCCATTAAATGTTTGACCATTTACTTGTTCCTTCACAGCGAATGGATATCTATTGATGACCTGCTACTTCCTCTTCTATACTAGATGATGGCAACTCCACAGCACAACACAAGTGCCTTCAAGGAGCTCATGAACTGAGAGAGAAGGCACAGATAAGCAAGCAGTTACAAAGGTGTGGAAAGAATTCCTATAACCAAGGAGCACAAAGGTGGGGATACCAAACCCAGACTGAAAAGTCAGAAAACATGCTTCAGAGGAAAGGAAAGCTGCACCGAGCCTGGAAGTAGGGGCTGCAGGATATGTGTGTAGGCATAGGGGTTTCTGTAGATGCCATCTCTCATTTAGTCACCAGAATTACTTGTGCCCTTAGCTTTTAAAGCCCATCAGTTTGCTATTTTGATCAATTACTTCATTTATTCACTCTTTCATCTGTAAACATTTAAGAATGCACTCAGTGCCCCTGATTGTGTTAAATGCTATCTTTTCTTTTAAAGATTCATGACATGGAATTCCTGGCTTTCTCCCTCTCCATGATTTATAGAAACTTAAAATCTGCTTTTCTAAAGTTCGAAGTACTCATCTGGCTCTGCC